CAGCCGGTTTGAGCAGCCCGTGAAAATTTACCTTTACTCCTAATTCCTTATTTCTTTTACTGTGGCTGCACCTTAACTTTACGTAACTCGGAACGCACCTGGTGTCGCTTGTTGGAAAGCTCCCTGAATCTACTCTGATAAACCAATCAGCGCATGCTCTGCTTTTCCGGGTCGATGTTGCTTGAGAGATGGGAATATATTTCTCCTCCTCTAAACCTCTAGACCTCCTAGTCTGTCCGTTTCCGTCCCGTCGGAGTCTCTTGTCATCCATAGTGGCTCCAGTTCGCCGGTTCCTGTGGATCGAGTCCGTGGATACCTTGTGCCGCGCCGAGCTCTCGAGACACCTCGTTTCGTCGCTCCGCGCGACAATCTGATCGTACCAAGTACAAATCCCCGACATTCAGGCTGTTGGAAATTGATTAGACATACTGTGCTTCTGTGTCATCCAAGTCCAGCACAGCTTTTCCTGCCGACCCAGAACGACACACACTAAAATGTACAACGGATATTCGCAAGTTCACAGCAAGTATGTCTATCGATCAACCGATGTCTTTGAGATGGCGTTCTAGATTAATTTGTAATCTAAAAACGCGAAAGGGCTGGCTTTGCTACGAGTGCAAACTCGATCTCCCTGCTCAGCAGCCGCCATTTTAGCCAAAGCTTGTCGTTGCTCCATTTTCTATTAAATTATCCGACGGATATTTAAGAATTCTGTGCCCGGCGGATTTTACCTAATAACTACTGAAAAAACAATTATAGAAATACATGATTGTTTTAGAAATTGGATACATATAAAATGGTATTATGAGAATTAATGTGACCAAGCCAGATACTTTTTTTTTATTAGACTATCATTTTATTACTGACAAAGACATTATAAAATCATCTCTCGATTTTGGAGAGAATGTGCAGGTAGATCAGTTATTGAAAAATATTGTACAGTTTGTCATTAAAGATAAGAATCCTTGCGGTTCAGCCAGTATAATTAGTTTCCAAGATATACCTTGACATTTAAATAATTATAATATATATATATATATATATATATATAAGTATTAGTTTTGAACATACACTGCATTTAAATATATAAGCAGTAGTCGTTAAGATACCCTGACACATTTAAATAATTACAGGGTGTTTGATAAGTAACGATAAATCTCCCACATAGGGGTACAGCAGACTAAACTGAGTCGAAAACTTCTCTATCATTTTGCAATTTTCGCAATAATTAACAATATATCAATTACTAAAAATCATCAAATATTGGTTTTCAATAATTTTTTACTCGAGTACTATCAAGTTTACAGAAAAACAGCAAGAAACACAAATTATTTTTTTTTTTTCCATAGAACTCTAAGAATTTTTTCAAGATTTTGTATGAACTTTTTAGTACTACATTTTTTTATTGGCAACTATTTTTACCAACATGAGAAAATATGTACTAAAAATTCTAAAAAAATTCTTAGAGCTCTATGAGAAAGAAATAAACAATTTTCGTTACTTGCTATTTTTCTGTAAAGTTGATAGTACTTGAGTAAAAAATTATTGAAAACCAATATTCGGCGATTTTTATTAGTAATTAATATTTTGTTAACTATTGTGAAAATTGTAAAATGGCAGAGAACTTTTCGACTCACGTCAGTACAGTCCGCTCTATCCCTATGCAAGAGTTTTATCATCATTCGAACATACACTGCATTTAAATATATAAGCACTATAGTATTAAGGTACAATTTTATGCAGCGAAGCTTCGCTGGCGAAATTCCCTTATTTCGCCGAAAACGAAACCAGCATTCAATGCTCTTCGCTGAAGCCTTCTTATCTTTTCATGGAACGAAGTTTCACTGGCGAAGTTACTTCCACTATGCCGTGAAGGAGCGTTAAACAGACAATTTAAACAATTGACTAATCAAAAAATGCTTTGAAGGATTTGGCCAATCAAATGGACCACAGCCAGAGTCGGCATTGCTTCGCTCATAATTGGACAATGTCGAACTTTGAATGAAGCTTCGCTCCCTACGCATTTTCGCACAAATCGACGGAGTGGGGAGTCTTCGCGAAGCTTTGCTGCATGAAATTGTACCTTTAAAATGATTCTTGAGCCGGTATTCATAGTCAGCTCTTATTTTAAGATCGTCTTAAGTAATGTCTTAAGTCGCTAATGCGGCCCTCTGATTGGTTCATGACATCATAAGACTGTACTTAAGACGGTCTTAAATATAAGATCTGACTATGAATATCGGCCTTGAAGTAGCCCTACTCAAATTAGTCTTGAAGTCCTGAATCTTGTGGCCCTAATAAGGGTACGTCCCGACGTGACAGTCGGAATTTCGGAAAACGGAATCTCGGAAAAGTAATAGAGTGGGGATCAACCAATCAGAATTATTGGATTGCATTACCGTCCGTCTGCACATGTTACTTGTATTTAACTACGTTATATACAAGATTATCGAAATTGAATTTCTATACGTATAAAAAAAAATTGATTATTAATAAATAATTGTTTGTGATAAGAATTTATTAATATATAAGTATTCATTTTTCCAGTATATAAATGTAACTATTATTTATATCGTTGGAGATAAAATTATGTACTTGTCGGTCCGAAATTTTTGTTGCTGGATTTCCCGTGGAGCGACTTTTTCGGAAAACGGACTGTTATTTTCTAATCTCAAACCGTCTTTTAATTTAAAAAATTCTTTCATTATCTTCTATTATAATAAAAAATATATCGAAATTTTATTAACTTGCGGATTCTTTTACTATGTAATAATTATCTTATTTCATAAAATATTTAAAATAAATTTTCTGATTTTTCACAATTTCTGAAATATTGATCCCATGATGGGGAGCCCAGCCACAAAAATTTTAGACCGACAAACACGCAATTTTATCCTTAACGATATAAATGGTTATATTTATATGGAAAAATGAATACTTATA